GTGGGGGCAATTCAAAGAAGAAATAGGGTATTAGTAATTATGCATGTTTTGAATCTTAACTTTTATTTACTTTTAATTTCTATTGATATAATTCTGAAAATTAAGATTATAACCACCAAAGTTCGTATTTCAAAAAACTAACTGGAACGGTTGAATGCCTCTTCATTGGGTCATTATTAACTTGCTTATCTTGAGCTGCTTTAATTTCATGATCCGCCGAAGGTAAATTTCTTGATAGGACTTTTTTTTTAAAAAAAAAATCTTCCAAAAAGTTCACACAAAGAAACCGATCTTAAAAATATTATTTGATAATTATTTTCGACAATGTTCATTTTTTCATCAAAAATTTATTTTCTTTTTCTATTTTTGGGTGATAATCCTATCTTACTTATTGAGTTTGAGTATGCATTTAAGCTTTATTGCCTCATAAATGTAAGCAGATTGAAAAGCGATTTGCATCTAAAAAATAGCATTTAAGAATGATTCCCATGACAATTTCATGCAAATAAGTGGGTTATAGATGATTAAAACTCAATGATGTTAGAAAATTTTTATTTGAAGGGACTTGACGAATGATACATAGTCCTCACATGGACAAATTTTTTAAGGCCCATGAAAAACATCAACGTATTTAAGAATATCTTAGTGCAAAAAAATCAAATAGTTTATCTTCTCCAATAATCTTCAATTTTTATATTGAAAATAGTCTTGAACATCTTGAAATTAGAGCAATAAATTGAGATACCTCCTCCCGCACATCAAAGAAGCAAATGAGGAAATTTTATGGGAAAAAAATAATTGCATTCCAAATGCAAAACCATGATTAAGAAATAGGTGAAAATGTCCAATTGAACTTAAGTGGTTTAAAAGATGATGACTGACCAAATATAGAATTTTCAAGAAATGAGGGGAACAAAATGTAAGCTCCGTACAATTTTTCAAATAAAATTTCAAACTAAATTGTGGCCTTCATCCCAGAATTAAGAAATTATTTGATGAACATACAATATATTTCTATTTTAACAATAAAATTAATACATGCACCAATTTCTTAAATATATTCAACCATTATAATAATGAAAGAACGAATGTAGATCCATTATACTAAGGAAACAATAGAAACTTGACCCTCTAAGAAAATCTTAGTATATTCACCCGACTATTTGATTCCCAATTTTCTTTCATACATGAGTTTTAAATGAAAACTAAAATATTAGTATATATTCACTTAGAAAACATTTTTTTGTGATAGTATATGAAGAAGTTTTGATTCCAATTGTCATCTCAAGGTTCTTACACTCTCATCAAAGTATTCAGCTTTTGTGTCATAATTGCAATATAAATCAAGTTTTAAGTGTCATTATGGAATTATTAGGATGGAAATCATAATATGCGAGCAAGCTAAACAACTACTCAAGCATAAGTTTGTTGTCAAACTTCTCAGTCAAAAAACAAAAAATAATAGTTATAAGCAAGACTAAGAAATCATTCTTGAATATTAATGTCCAATACCAAAACATATCATCTGTTTATGTTATATTGACCCCTACACACCAAAACACATGAAAAGAGGCAAAGACGACGATTTAAGCAACACGGATTGGTGTGAAGCATCACTTAAAGGGCTAAACCACCTCTGATTGTCAAACGAATTGCGTCGTTGCAATCAGGACGTCGAGTTCACCTAAATAGGAATCCCTAACAATCATATCGAACGACATCGGTTCAAAGGGATAATTAAAACCCGAAATTGATGCACGACATCGCCCAAACAATGTCCGATCACAAAATGGAATTCGACGTTGCGTTCAGAACATCGTCAATATCCAAAGATGACTGTCAATTTGTTCATTGGCATGGATCCCGAGGCAACCCACAAATTAAGGAAATCAACGAGTGATATCACCCAAATCACCTCTGATCGCAAAACGAATGTTGTTGTTGCGATCGGAACACCAATAGTATTTAAAATGCATTATAACTTTATCCAATTTGCGCGCACAAATCGACATGAAATTTGAAGACTTTTGCGCATTACTCGAGAAATCAGCACGCGAATTTTGAGGCGCACAAATTGTTTCATTTCTATAATTTTAATAGTAATAATATCATTAATATTATAATGATATTATTATTTTAATTATATAAATTAATTAAAAGAAAATCAACCCAAAAAAATCTTACCTTGTATCCGCCTCAACGTTGGCTCCGATCAATCCCCAATATCCCGTTAAATCCCCAGATGTCTGCTCAGGTATATTCCCGTAAATCCCATAGCTTGCCTTAATTGAATGCCACCCTCGTCGTATGCCTCTCCTGATCTCCCTCTCAACTGAACTCCTATAACTCAATCAACCTCCAGCCTGCCATCTGTTGAAGCCACTCAACCTAGCCTCAACTTTTGTCAAAACCAACCATTTGAACCCAACCCAAACTTTCAAACCTTGTCAGAGCCAATTGCTCTTGCCGCAACCTCACAAACCTACTGGAATGCATTGGGCTTGTTATGTGATAGAAATGTACCCCTCAAACTTAAGGGAAAATTCTATAAGATGGTAGTGAGGCCTGCAATGCTTTATGGTGCCGAATGTTGGCCTTTAAAAGAGAAGCATAATACTAAGTTAAGTGTGGCAGAGATGAGGATGCTCAGGTGGATGAGTGGCTTTACCCTTAGAGATAGGATACGAAATGAGCATATACGTGAAAAGGTTAGAGTAGCTCTAGTAGAAGATACGATTAGAGAGAATCGCCTTAAATGATTTGGTCACATAAAACGGTAGCCTTCCGATAACCCAGTTAGGAAAGTAGATGTATTAGATTTGACTTATGTTAAGAAAGGTAGAGTCAGACCTAAAAAAACTTGGTTAGAAAATATTAGGAATGATCTTTCTTTATTAAATTTAAATGAGAATTTGACTTTTAATATGACACAATGAAGAAAAAGGATTCATGTAGCCGACCACACGTAGTGGGATAAAGACTAGATGTTCTTGTTGTAGATAAAAGATATATATTGACTCTTAATATCTGTATAATGTTTTCGTTAGTTGTGTTTTAATTTGTTGATGGCAAGCCTTAAGGAGCAAAAATCATTCATTTTTCTCAAGATGAAAATGACATTTCCGTTAATGTTTGTTTTAGATTTATGGATAGCATTACCACAAAAGTGATCATTAAGCTGATTGACTAATGTCGTAAGGATGGAGAAAATGTATTATTCATTTATTGTAACTACCAAAAAAACATTTAACTTTTTTCTTTTTGAAAGTTAGGGGCTCCGAACGTGAGCCGCCCAGGAGAAAGTGATTTGCATCCACCGAATGAGCTGCACGCCCATGCTCAACATTTACCATTTCAAGAGAAATATAGTTAGGGCAAGGAAAACATAATAACAAGATGTGTTTAGTATGAAGAGGGTTCAATTAAGGTAGATGTAACTGATAACCAAAATGAAGCTGATGGTTAAATCATATATATAGCTAGAACTATCTTCAGTCTTTATATTAAATAAATGGGGGCTGTAAATAATATTCAAGATTTATCTATCTATTGACCCTTGAGATTTTCACTTCAACAAATTCTTTCATTAAAATAAATGGAAAGAAGCTTAAAGACGTGAAGCCTTATGATGATGAGACTGACATAAAGAAGCTTGAAGAAGCATTCATGAGTGTAAAATTTAATGGCTTGTTTTGGGTAGCCTGTAAGTGACCAAATTGTCCTACTCTTCATGTTATATGTGATTGTTTGTTTCGGTGCATGGTTACTCGTTAAATGGAAATGAAGTTTAAATTATGATGTGATTGTTATCATTTTCTCCATTAAAGTCATATTTTGATCGCTGTTTAAACTTGTTCGCTTTGGTACATCTAGAATGTTCAGATAAATATAGTGGAAGTCTAAATTCATGCAAGCACAATCAATCTAAATTTTAATTTCTACATCAAATTGGTTACAAATCAAACAATAATTCCTTTGAATAAATACAGAACCACGCCTATATTTCATTGTTGACAACATTTACAAATATTAGATTAGACAAAAAAAATAGACAAAAAACATCTAATCAAATTTCTGGATTTAAAAACAAATTCAAACTTCATTGGAAAGTTAATTGGATTAAATCTAACACTAATTGAGCTAGTTTGGGTCAAATTTGAGTCCAAAATGAACTTAATTTGACTCAAATCGAATAGGCTCAGGTCCAAGGTAACTCGACTATGCTAACTTAATGAAGTTAAACTCGAACCCAACATAAATTAAAATCAAATCGGACCCAACACAAATTAAGCGAACTAATCGGGCCTAATCAAACATGGTCGAGTCTAACTCAACTCAATTCGAGCTGATTAGAGCTCGAATTGGACTCGACGAGGCTTAATTTAATCATTCGAAGACACTCGCGGGTACTCGTACGAAAATCAAGGTCAACAACAATGAAGTATAGTTCTAGATACTAAATACAGGAAAAGAAAAGGGGATGCACAACATGAAATGAGTGAGATGGAATCTGGTTAAGACTAGATGGGAGATTGAGTCTTAGGTAGATCAAAGCTAGACTTGGGTTTTTGGACAAAATTCAAAATCCTAATAAATAATGTAAAAATAATAATAATAATAATAATAATAATAGCTTCATTAGTGAATTGGGTTGGTTCATAACCAAAATGGGTCAATTTATAAAGAATCCATCTAAATCTAAATGACATAACTCGTTAAGAAAGATCTAAATATAGGTAATTAGCTCATTGAGCATTCAAAAGTTAAATCTTAAAAATGATACTGAAATCAATGCTTTTCAAGTCCAATTAAAGATAAATTATTCTCAAAAGATTCAAATCTTAAAACTACCTCTCCTTGTTTGGTTTGACTTCACCGTTCTCTAGTTCGAAACAGCAAAAGCGTTTAGAAACACGCTTTTATTGTTTCTTTGCTATCCTTAAAAGATTTATTTATTTACTCATCCCTTAAAAATGAATTATGAAAAAAGCTGAACTTACCACCGCACGATCTGACACGTCTGCGAGCTACCTATTTTCCAGCGCCTCATCCGACGGCTTCGACTTACTTCCAGCTTTAAGTATTTGTCGTTGCAATGTTTACAGCCGTCGATTCTCGGCAGCATAGAGATTACGTCTTACTTTCTCTGGGTTGAATCATCCCCTTCCTCCTTTATCATTCGATGAGTCCATCCCTCTGAAGTTGGTATGGAAAAGATGGATTAGCGTAGTGCTCTTCTCTATCAAAAGAGTAAAAATTCAAAATTATATCTTAAACAGACATATAATTAAAAATCATATCTATCATAAAAAATAGATACAAGTGTTTATCAAAATCAAAAGCAACACAAATTTTTGATACCTAAGAAAATTTTAGATAAAAAAATAGAAAATTAATCCAAAGAATGAACTAAGCAGCATACCACTGCTTTATTAAATTATTCATTTCAAAGATATTATATACACCACTTAGTTCGAAAGAATAACAAGTATCACTAATATTTGTTAAAAAAAAATTATTTTATACAATAACAAAAAGACTTATTCAACTATATTGATAATGCAATATGAATTCATTTTCTAAAATGTGAAAATATTTTAACATGTAATCAAATTGATTTAGTAATGCAAATATGAGTATTATATACCTTGATTCTATGGTCATCAATTAATGTTACAAAATATGAAATGATAACTAATTATATATTAATTTTAAAAATTAAGATTAAAGAATTCCAGCACATATTAAAAATTGAGATGTAATAAGAGCTGAAGTTGGATCAAATTAGTTGTGAAGATGCAATAAAAAAAATAGCCTAAGAGTAAGAAAGAGTAAATTTAAGTATAAAACACTCTAGGTAATGTGAGCCTAAACGGAACAACATTAATTCATTCAATCAATACATTAAAAAAAATCATACACTCACGAACCATTGGAAACTATGAGATTAAAAATAATGCATAATCATTCAGCTCAATCATTCTCGAAAGGCAACAATAATGAAATTGGTATGCCACTGAAATTTAAAAAAAACGTAATGTGGAATACATTATTGATTGCGGATAGGAAAGGAAGAAGGGGATGATCCAACCCATAGAAAGTGAGACATAACCTCCGTGTTGCCGAGAATCGACGACTAGAAGCGTTGCAACGGCAAATACGTGAAACTGGAAGCAAAGTCGAAGCCGTCAGACGACAGGTTCATTAATGTTGCCTTTCGAAAATACGTGAGCGAGATGATTATGCATTAATTTGTATTTCATAATTTCGAGTATTCGTTAGTATAGTATTTTTTAATGTATTACTGATTGAATGATTTAATATTGTTCCGTTTAGGAACTCATTACCTATATCGATTTATACTCAAATTTATTCTTTTTTCCTCTAAGGCATTTTTTTATATTGCATCTTCACAACCAATTTAATTCACCTTCAGCTCTTCTTACATCTATATTTTGAATGTGTTGAAATTCTTTAATCTTAATTTTTAAAATAATATATAATTATCTGTTATTTCACATTTTGTAATATTAACTGATAGCAATATAACTGAGGTATGCAATACTCATATTTGTATTATAAAATCAATTTGATTACATGTTAGAGTCTATTCCCAATGTACAAGATAGATTCATATTGAATTATCAATATAATTGTATAAAGTTTTGTTGTTATTATTGTATAAAATCATTTTTATTCATAGATTTGTGGGATAATTATTATTCTTTCGAACTAATTGATGGAAATGAAGTTTAAATATCTCTAGAATGAAGAATTTTAATAAAGCAGTGGAATGTTGCTTAGTTCATTTTTTAGATTAATTTTTTTTATTTTTTCTTCCTAATCTGAAATTTCTTAAGCATCAGATATTTGTGTTGCTTTTTATTTTGATAAATACTTGTATCTATTCTTTGTGATAGATATGATTTTCAATTATATGTCTATTTAACATATAATTTTGAATTTTCACTCTTTTGATAGGGAAGAGCATTAAGCTAAACCATTTTTTTCATACCAACTTCGGAGGGATAAACTCATCGGATGATAAAAGAGAAAGGGGATAATCCAACCCAGAAATACTGAGATGTTACCTCTGTGCTGCCAAGAATTGACGGCTAGAAGCATTGCAACGACAAATACTTGAAGCTGGAAGCAAGTCGGAGCCATCGGATGAGGCGCTGAAAAATAGGAAGCTCACAGACGTGTCGAATCGTACGGTGGTAAGTTCAGCTTTTTCCATAATTCATTTTTAAGGGATGACCAAATAAATAAATCATTTAAGGATGGCAAAGAAACAATAAAAGCCTATTTTCAAACACTTTTGCTGTTTCGAGCCAGAAAACGGTGAAGTCAAACCAAACAAGGCTTAGGAAATGGAGAAGAATAAAAGCACACCACTTAAGACAAATGGAGAAAGAATTAGTAATTAGTAAAATACTAAATAATAATTAAGAATGTACTTACTAATTAAAGAATTATATTTGTAATTTATTAATTAATTATAGTTAATTAATATTGTAATTAATAGTTAAATTATTAGGTAATTAAGCTAATTTTTTATTATATTATTTATAATTAACTTTATTGATGACAATTAAAATTAAAAATAAATAAATATTTTTTCCTATTTTTCTCGTGTTTTAACTTAAATCATGAATTTAGTAAATTGGATATTCAACGAATTTAACTTAAACTTATATTAATATTAATTTTTTTCTATCTGATTAATTTATGATTTAAAATATCAATGTTAATAATAAATATTCATTGATTAAAAATATATATAATAAAATCTATTATGCTTAATTAAACTAATAAATTATCAAAAAAAACATCTTATCAAATATTAATTTTTAGATAAAAGATATAAATTGGTGAGGCCAGCAATGCATTATGGTGTCGAATGTTGGCCATTAAAAGAGAAGCATAATACTAAGTTAACTGTGGCAGAGATGAGGATGCTCACGTGGATGAGTGGCTTTACCCTTAGAGATAGGATACGAAATGAGCATTATACGTGAAAATGTTGGAGTAGCTCCAGTAAAAGATAAGATTAGAAAGAGTCGCCTTAGATGGTTTGGTCACATAAAACGACGACCTTCTGCTGACCTGGTTAGGAAAGAAGATGTATTAGATTTGACTTATGTTAAGAAAGGTAGAGGTAGACCTAAAAACACTTGGTTATAAAATATTAGGAATGATCTTTCTTTATTAGATTTAAACGAAAATTTGACTTTTAATAGGACACAATAGAGAAAAAGGATTTATCTAACCGACCCCATGCAGTAGGATAAAGGCTTGATGTTGCTGTTGTAGATAAAAGATATAAATTGACTCTTAATATTCGTATAATGCTTTCGTTAGTTGCGTTTTAATTTGTTGATGGCAAGCCTTGAGGAGCAAAAATCATTCATTTTTCTCAAGATGAAAATGACATATTTTTGTTAATATTTGTTTCAGATTTATGAATAGCATTACCACAAAAGTGATCATTAAGCTAATTAACTAATGTCGTAAGGATGGAGAAAATGTATTATTCATTTATTGTAACTACTAAAAAAATATTTTAACTTTTTTTTTTTTGGAAAGTTAGGGGCTTCGAACGTGAGCCGCCCAGGAGGAACTGATTTGCATCCACCAAATGAGCTGCACGCCCAAGCTCAACATTTACCATTTCAAGAGAAATATAGTTAGGGTAAAGAAACCATAATAACAAGATGTGTTTAGTATCAAGAGGTTTCAATTAAGGTAGATGTAACTGATAACCAAAATGAAGCTGATTTACTAATGGTTAAATCATATATATAGCTAGAACTATCTTCAGTCTTTATATTAAATAAGTGGGGGCTGTAAATAATATTCAAGATTTATCTATTTATTGAACCTTGAGATTTTCACTTCAACAAATTTTTTCATTAAAATAAATGGAAAGAAGCTTGAAGACGTGAAGCCTTGGGATGATGAGACTGATATAAAGAAGCTTGAAGAAGCATTCAGGAGTGTAAAATTTAATGGCTTGTTTTGGGTAGCTTGTAAGTGACCAAATTGTCCTACTCTTCATGTTATATGTGATTGTTTGTTTTGGTGCATGGTTACTCGTTAAATGGAAATGAAGTTTAAATTATGATGTGATTGTTATCTTTTCTCCATTAAAGTCATATTTTGATAACTATTTAAACTTGTTCGCTTTGGTACATCTAGAATGTTCAGATAAATTTAGTGGAAGTCTAAATTCATGCAAGCACAATCAATCTAACATTTTAATTTCTACATCAAATTGGTTACAAATCAAATAATAATTCCTTTGACTAAATACAGTGCCACGCCTATATTTTATTGTTGACAACATTTACAAAAATTAGATTAGACAAACAAAATAGACAAAAAACACTGGCAATAATAAATACCTATACAATTACAAAAAGAAAAGCACATATGATCAATAACAAAATGCTCAACATAAGCCAACTAAGATAAAGCATGCATCTCAAAATGGAGCTTAGTAGAAGAGCCAAGAAGGCAAGAATCCATTAGGTACATTCCCAATTGAGTTATATTAGCAACCAAAACCACATTGGGTAACATGATGAACATGCTTAACACGCTGAAGTTACAATAATTTTTAGACATTTTGTTAGTATTTGTTTCATATGTTGTATCAAAATTTATTCCAACTGGATAAGAAATAAATAAATTGCATATTAAGTTGACCATTGAAGACGACTTGGTGTTTGTTGATGACCTCATTGAGGATCACCTAATTGTTGAACCTACAAATGAGTATATCCAGAGTTGTGAAATTGTGGCATTTAACAAAATCCATAAATTTGCACTCACATATTAAATTGTTCAATTGACCATATTATTTTCAAATAAAAGTTAGGAACTTTCATTTTTTTTTGGACGTCAGGTGGAGTGCGGGAGACACTGAGGTAGTGTCGGCTGTTTTTGGGGAACATGGTTGAAAGCGCGGGTCGCTTGGAGATGCGAGGTCGTGCGATGCACGAGGAGGCCGCATAGGAGCGCGGGGCACTGGTGAAAGACACGCAGGGTTCTGGCCGGATGCGGCAGTGCGGAGCGTGGTCTTGTGACGAGCTGAGCGCTGGTGAGGGCGCAGGGCTCGCTGCACGGGTGGATAAGTGCAAGATGTGGTCAGTGACAGACAACATGGGTGCAAGGAGCAGGCGCGGGCTGAG